CCAGTAGTCTTAGCATATTAGACATACTAATTTAGTATAAGAAGCACCAGTAGTCTTAACATATGAATTAAGTCCTAAGGCCATCTAACCTCAGCAATAAACTATCACCTCCTCCACCTCCACTAGGACCAAAATGGGCCAGCAACCTGACTTGGATGGGCCTTTAAGATATTTGTAAGAAAAAGGCGACCACGAGACATAAAATAGTCATTAGCCTCTTTACCTGCCCCAGAGCTGGTTAGCTTAAAATGGGATCCAGGGAGTCGGTGCTGTTATTGGTTGTGTGTGTGAGAGAGAGATTGTTGTTCAACTTCTGGTCTGCTCTACCTGTGTTGCAAAAAAAAAAAAAAAAAAAATTATATATATATATATATATATATATATATATATATATATATATATATATATATATTTTCACACACACACTGAGTGGCCAGATTATTATCTCTGAACACAATAATCTGACCACTCAATGTATGTGTGTGTGTGTGTGTGTGTGTGTGTATACACACATGAATATATATATGTATATGTATGTTAGAGGCCCAGTGAATGAACTCGTGCATTGGTGGGGTCCAGCCAGCCTGGCCAGGGGGAGGGGACATGGGCAGTTGGCCGGCCTGCCTGGTGGTCGAACTCCTGGTCAAGGGGACAATTTGCATATTAACCTTTTATTATATAGAATATACACTGAGTGGCCAGATTATTATGTGTTCAGAGGTCATAATAATCTGGCCACTCAGTGTATCGCCTATATAATAAAAGGCTAATATGCAAATTGACTGAACTGTGGAATGACCAGTCGCTGTGATACACGCTGATCACCAGAGGACAGATGCTCAATTCAGGAGTTGTCCCCTGGTGGTTGGGCAGTGCACTCGCACAGAGGGAGCGCTGCTCAGCCAGAAGCCAGGCTCATAGATGGTGAGTGCAGTAGTAGTGGTGGGAGCTCTTCTGCCTCTGAGGCAGTGTTCAGGATGTCCAACTGCTAGCATAGGCGGTGCAGGCCTATGTCATCAGTCAGACATCTCCCGAGGACTCCTGGACTGCGAGAATGCACAGGCCAGGCTGAGGGACCACCCGAGTGCAGGAATTTTGTGCACTGGGCCTCTAAAGAGAGAGAGAGAAAGTATATATATATGGCATTTTCTTATACAATGTTAGGAATAACCTTTGGGTTCTCATTTTCATCTGTTAGCCAGGCAACTCCTAGCACCAAGCATTAGCAAGTCAACTGTATTTAACTCCAGCTACCATTTTAATTCACCCAACCTTTAAATGCTCCTCCTATGTAGAAGCAGCAATCCAGGCTCTGAGTATAAATCCTAGAGTAAGATAGGTGTGGTTCCTGCTTTTTGGGAGTTTACAAACTCCTCGGGGAGCAAAGATCATTCATATACTGATTCATTCAACAAATATCCAGTGAGCACCTATTATGTGCCAGGCATTATTCCAAGAAGTTGGATACATTAGTGTACAATAAAGATCTGTTCCCTCAAAGAGCTTGGGAGCGGAAAGAGTGTGGAGACAGAAGACAAACATCAGTAAATTCTGTGTCATGTTAGTGAAAGAAAGGAGACTATGCCAAGCCAACATGTGCCGGTTGGGCACATGAATTATTTTGAGCTGAATGCAGTTAAGACCCAGCAGACTTAAACAAAACTTTTACCACTCCCTAACTACCTAAAGTAATTTAGTTAGGGGGCCTGGACAGAAAGAGAGATTACCAGAATTAATTTTTCTTTTTTAAAAATTAAATTTATTTGGTGTCATTGGTAATAAGATTATATGTTTCAAGAGTACAATATTATAGTACATAATCTGAGAGGTAACATTTTATCAGAAAGGCTTACCTGCATAGCTTGGCAAACATCTGATTACCAAACATCTGCTCTTCTTCCTTTGAGTTGTCCTCTTCCCATTTGAAGCCCCAGATTCCTATTCCATTTCTTAGCTCAGGACAGCATATAAACCTAAATTGCCTAACTGCCTTTGGGGGGGTCTCATATTTTTATGGAGCTTCCAAATTCATGAAATTACATTTATTTTCCTCCTGTTAATCCATTTAAGTCAACTTAATTGTTAAACTAGCCAACAAACCTAGAAGATCTAGAAGGAAAATTTTCCCACCCCAACATTAGAAATGGAGAAGTGCTATTGAAAAAAAGCAAAAGTAAAGCTAAGTAAGAAGGATGAAGATTAATGAATAATTATTTCTTTCTGGTTATGAGCATACTTGTTCTCTGACCCATATTGCAATCCCATGTCACAGGCAGTACATGAACCAGGAGAATGTTCCAGAAGTAGATCCTAACACCAAATAGAACAGTGTTTCCATAAGAAAATGCTTTTATTTATTTATTTTTAAAATATATTTTTATTGATCTTTTACAGAAAGGAAGGGAGAGGGATAGAGAGTTACAATAGATACATCAATGAGAGAGAAACACCGATCAGCTGCCTCCTGCACACCCCCTACTGGGAATATGCCCGCAACCAAGGTACATGCCCTTGACTGGAATTGAACCTGAGACCTTTCAGTCCACAGGCCGAGGTTCCATCCACTGAGCCAAACCAGTTTTGGCAGAAAATGCTTTTAGAGTTAACCAAAACCAGGATCTACTCCTGTTTCCAAAGGATCTATTACTTGGATCCTGGACGATTTAACATAGTCTGCTTTGTGGGGAGAGAATCAGTGAAATGCTGTGTTCAACATTTACCGTATTTTTCGGACCATAAGACGCACTTTTTCCCCCCCAGAAGTGAGGGGGAAAAGTCCCTGCGTCTTATGGTCCAAATATAGCCTACACATATACTGTAAAGAAAAAGTTTTTTTATTTGCCCGGCTCTGTGTGGTCTCTGTGTGCTTGCCCGGCTCTAAAATGGTTCTAAATGCTGCTGTTTACTTTACAGGGTTGATTACATGTGTTTATGACTGTGATGTTGGGTTTTAATGCACATAAAATATTTTAGGACACTATTTGTTTCAGAATCTTTTTTTCTTCATTTCCCTTCTCTAAAAACTGGTGCGTCTTATGGTCCGGAGCGTCTTATGGTCCGAAAAATACGGTATGTAGTAGATAATAAATGTTTCCCCTTCATTCTCCAAAATATTCTAAGAATCCCATTATTTTAGTTTGAGAAATCAACCTTAATAAGTTGGTCAATTGCTTACTGTTCGACCTCAATAGTGAGCCTGGATTCCTCCTGTTTCTTAGTGGTGATAATGAAAGAACAATGCAATTGGGCCCTAACTGGTTTTGCTCTGAGGCTAGAGTGTTGGCTTGTGGACTGAAGGGTCCTAGGTTCGATTCTGGTCAAGGTTTCGGTACATGCCCAGTAGCGGATGTGCAGGAGGCAGCTGATGTTTTTCTCATCGGTGTTTCTAACTCTCTATCCCCCCCCCACCGTAAAAAAAATCAATTTTATATATATAAATATATGTTTGGTTTTTTTTTAAAGAATGCAATTGGGACATAAAGACCTGACTTCACATGGGAAATTTTAAGTGCTGGAAAAATTAAGATTATGGCTTCAAAATTACACTATTTAGTGTTTTCAAAAACTTAGGTGGAACTTTTATGCTTATTTTTATGTGATGATCAAATAAAGTGATCTAAGCATTAGAAGAGATATGTAAAGAAAAAGCTACCTTAATTTCAGTTATGGAACATAATCTTTTTTAAAATATATATTTTTTATTGACTTTTTTCAGAGAGGGAGAGGGAGAAGGATAGATAATTAAAAAGACTGATCAGCTGTCTCCTGCACACACCCCCTACTGGGGATATGCCTACAACCAAGGTACAACATGCCCTTGTCTGGAATCAAACCTGGGACCCTTGAATCTCCCTAACATTCTATCCACTGAGCCAAACCATTTAGGACTGGGACATTATCTTAAATTCCTGTGAAGGTATATGAAGAGTTGAGAGGTTAATAATTTGAGAAAACTCAATATTTAACTTTGGGGAAGCAATTAATTAATTGGAAAAAATCTGCTTTGTCAGTTATTAAGAAATGAACTAATCACATGCCAAGCAACACATGTAAGCCAGATTTGCTAAATTTAAGAGATATATTTAACATGCGTATTTCCATTGCTTAGTTGTTTCACATCTGTCATGGATTATTGTGAACTCTATCCCACAACAAATGTTGCTTTTCTGAAGTCTTTAGCGCTTTTTCTATTCACTGAATTCTCTGATTAATTTGTGCCTTCTGGTTCAAGAATCTAGTTCTTTGTTTATTCCCTTGCCTCTTCCTGGTGTCCAAAATGGCTTTAAATCTTCTTTTTACCTAGGCTTAAACTTATATGGATTGGGATAATTTCTCAGTATATCTAAAATGTATAGCCTTGCCCTAACTGGTTCAGCTCAGTGGATAGAGCATCAGCCTAAGGACTGAAGGATCCCAGGTTCAATTCCAGTCAAGGGCATGTACCTTGGTTGCAGGCACATCTCCACTGGGAGGTGTGCAAGGGACAGGTGATGGATGTTTCTCTCTCATCGATGTTTCTAGTTCTCTATCCCTCTCCCTTCCTCTCTTTAAAAAAATCAATAAAATATATTAAAAATATTTAAAAAATAAAATGTATAGCCTGAAAAATTATGACTTATTCACTGTTTTTACAACTTTTCCTATTAAATACAGGGCAGGAAGTGGAAGCTTTTGATGAAGCCTATAGACATTCTGGTCGGTTCATCTAACTCGCAGGAAATTACCACAGAGGTGGGGGGGAGTTGCTTTGATCTTAACACCGTCTCTCCCCAGCGCCACCCCGGTAGTGTCACAGGGACCCCGGCAGTGTCAGAGGGGCGCCCAGGGGAGGAACAGTGACCGCCGGGCTGACTGGGGCCTGGCACAGGGGACCGGAAGTTGTTTCTTCACCCCCAGCCCCGGGCGGGCGGTCCCCGTGGGCTGGGTCTGCTTCCCGCTGTCAGAGTCCCTCGCCGGCGGCCAGTGCGGCGGCGGGGTGGGCTCGCCCGGCGCCGCCTCCGGAAGGCGGGACCACCCCGTCTCCTGGCAACGAGGCGGGGGGGGGGGGGGCGGCCGAGGGAGCGGCGGCCGGAGCGCGGCGCAGCCGGAACCCAGGAGCCGAGCGGAGAACCAGCGCTTCGGAATAAGCAGGAAATGGCGGACGAGGCGTTGTTCTTGCTGCTCCACAACGAGCTGGTATCGGGCGTGTACAAGTCCGCGGAGCAGGGGGAGGTGGTGAGTTCCCCTCCGCTCCTTCCTTCCGCCGCGTCCCCGAGCTGGGCGACCCGCGGGCTTCCCGTAACTGGGAGCTGTCTGCGGTCTTTTATCTCATTTTTGTTCGCATCTTCTATTTGATGCCTTTTTGTCTATTTCCACGCCTGTGACCCGTAGGCCGCACATGTTCTTCCTGAAGTGCCAGGCTTAGGGCAGGGCTCACCGCGCCGCTGCCTTCCGCAGCCGCCTCAATGGATCTGCCGTGTCCAGCTTCCCGGGCGGCGGCCCCTGCGGTCCCGCCTGAGAACCAGCCCCCTACCCCCCCCCCCCCCCATCAACCCCCTCCTCCATCCCCTCGGCCCTGACCTGCCCTCCCATCCCCCCTCCCGCCGCGTCCCCCCCTTCCCGCCTCCTGCCCCGACCCCCCTCCTCCCGCCCCGCCCCAGCCCTCAGTGCCCACCCTCCACGCCACCCCAAGAAGGAACCTAATGAGGTGTGAGATTAATGCAAAGTTTGCAGGCATTACTATAATTGGGAAACACATTAATTAAAAGTACTTAATGTCCGTTATGTTAGAGCTGGTTTTCTAGGTGCCAGGGATATAATAATGAAGAAAACCAGACCCCATCACTTCCAGTGTGTGGGAGTCCTCAGTTCACTCATTGGTTTATTCAGAAAACTTTTAGTACAGAATCTGGGCCTGACACTGTGCTAGATGAATAAGATAAAGTCCCTGCCTCACACTGGTTGGGGAGTAGGGGGGTTCAACGAATAATTAAGGTTTTGGGTAGTAATTAGGTATAGAATTATGGAGTTGTAACAGGCTGTATAAATGAGATACTCCAAAGTCATACTCAAGTCAGAAGCCCTTTCTATAATGCTATTGCTAAAGAGGGGTAGAAAGTGGGAGTAGGAAGAACATCCTAAACTAGGGGTGTCGAACTCAATCAGAGAAGGGGCCAAAATCTAAAATCCAGCCTAAATCGTGGGCCAAATGGTTTACTGAACAGTCATAAACTGTCATTGTGATGGAAACGCAGCGGAGTGCAGTGATGACAGCGCGGTGCGGGCCACATTGCAAGGCCTGGCGGGACGGATTTGGCCCGCGGGACGGATTTGGCCCGCGGGCCTTGTGTTTGACACGTGTCCTAAACAAAGGGAAAGGCATAGAGATATGAATGAGTTTGAAGTATTTAAATACGCTTTGTATTTCATTGTGACTAGATTGGAGAGGGAGAGTTAAATATGTTGAGAGCTAAAACTATTGTAGAAAGACCCTTGTATGATTTAAGAATTTGAACCTCCCTAGTGGAAGATTTAAAAGGTTTTTAAGAAGGGGAGTGACATAGCCCCATTCGTGTGTTAGAAAGGGGCTGGTTGGAGCGGGAAGATCCTTGTAGTGAGAAGATCATGTATTGCAGACCCTCAGGCAGGAGATGACAAAAATGATTTTTGTGGATATGTGGCTGTTAGTGATTCTGGATAATTAGCCAGGGATCAGTGTGGGTGTGTGTTTTTTGTTTTTTGTTAATCCTCACCAAAGGATATTTTCCCATTGATTTTTAGGAAAAGTAGAAGAGAGAAGGAAAGACAGAGAGAGACATCAGTGCAAGAGAAACACATAGATAGGTTGCCTCTTGCATGAGCCCCGACCAGGGAGGAGCCTGCAACCAAGGTACATGCCCTTGACTGGAATCAAACCTGGGACCCTTTGGTCTACAGGTTGATGCTCTCTAATCACTGAGCCAAATTGGTGATCAGTTTTTAAAAAATTTGTATTGATTGATTTTTTAGGGAGAGAAAGTCGGGTGGCGAGCGTCAGCCTGTGGACTGAAGGGTCTCAGGTTCGATTCCAGTCAAGGGCATGTACATTGGTTGCGGGCACATCCCCGGTAGGGGGTGTGCAAGAGGCAGCTGGTTGATGTTTCTCTCTCATTGACTTTCTAGCTCTCTATCCCTCTCTCTTCCTCTCTGTAAAAAATCAATAAAAAATATAAAAAATAAAAAATAAAATAAAACCTTAACACAATGAAATTGTCAAAGGAAGAACAAAGCAAATGCATTATTCCAGGCATTGGTTGGGGTCATCAACATAGACACACTGAGAATTAGAAAGCCTAATGTCTCTAAGAGACATTTTGAAACGAATAGCAATAGAATTTAGTGACTGTACAAAGTGAATGACAGAAAAAAATCAAAGGTGATACCAATTTTTATTATTTATTTATTTATTTTTACAATATTTATATATTTTTTTGCCCTTAGTCTTTTTTGATTTTTTTAATAAATATTAATTGTTCAGATTATTACAGGTGTTCCTCTTTTTTTCCCCCCATAGTTCCCCTCCACCTGATTCCCCACCCTACCCCATGCCCTTACACCCCACCACAGTCTTCATCCATAGGTGTAAGATTTGTGTCCAATCTCTTCCTGCACCCCTCAGATCCTCTTCCCCTTGAAAATTGTCAGTCCACTCCCTTCCTTTGGCCCTGATTCTGTTATATTCACCAATCCATTCTGTTCTTCAGATTTTCTATTCACCTGATTTTTATTTATTTATTTTTAAATATATTTTATTGATTTTTTACAGAGAGAAAGGGAGAGGGATAGAAAGTTAGAAACATTGATGAGAGAAACATCGATCAGCTGCCTCCTACATAACCCCTTCTGGGGATGTGCCTGCAACAAAGGTACATGCCCTTGACCAGAATTGAACCTGGGACCTTTCAGTCTGCAGGCTGACGCTCTATCCACTGAGCTGAACCAGTTTCGGCTATTCAGCTGATTTTTAGATTCACTTGTTGGTAGGTATGTATTTGATGTCTTTTTGTTGTTCATAATTTTTAACTTTACCTTTTTCTTCTTCTTCCTCTTCTTTTTATTTTTATTGTATTTTATTTATTTTTTTAAATAAATCTTTATTTTTCAGATTATTACAAATGTGATCCTCTTCCCCCCCTCAATTGCTCCCCTTCACCAGGTTTCCACCCCACCCTCTGTCCTTTCCCCATCCCCCATTGTCCTCATCCATAGGTGCACAGTTTTTGTTCAGTCTCTTCCCCCACCCCCACCCCCCTTTTCCGAGAATCGTCAGTCCACTCCCCTTCCATACCTCTGATTCCATTATATTCACCAGTTAATATTGTTCATCAGATTTTTAAATTCCCTTGGTTTTTAGATTCACTTGTTGATAGCTACGTATTTGTTGATCATAATTTTTATCTTTATCTTCTTCCTCTTCCTAAATAACCCCCTTCAGCAATTCATATAATTCTGGTTTGGTGGCGATGAACTCTTTTAGCTTTTTTTTATTTGTGAAGCTCTTTATCTATCCTTTGATTCTGAGTGATAGCTTTGCTGGATAGATTATTTTTGGCTGTAGGTTCTTGCTATTCATCACCTTGAATATTTCTTGCCATTCCCGTCTGGCCTGCATGGTTTCTGTTGAGAAATCAGCTGACAATCTTATGGGTGCTCCTTTATAGGTAACTACCTGCTTTTCTCTTGCTGCTTTTAATATTCTCTCTTTGTCTTTTGCTCTTGGAATTTTAATTATGATATGTCTTGGTGTGGTCCTCTTTGGATTCCTTTTGTTTGGGGTTCTGCGGGCTTCCTGGACTTGTAAGTCTATTTCTTTCCCCAGGTGGGGGAAGTTTTCTGTCACTATTTCTTCTAGTATTCTTTCGGTATCTTGCTCTCGCTCTTCTGGAATCCCCATAATTCTGATGTTGGTTCGCTTGAAATTGTCCCAGAGGTTTCTTACACTATCTTCAACTTTCTGGATTCTCTTATCTTCTCCCTTCTGCAGAGGAGTGTCCTCTGGCTCTTTGTGTTCTAAATCTTTGTCTTGATTCTTGCGATCTTCCAGTCTGTTTTTAGGACTTTGTATAATATTTTTTATTTCAGACAATGTTTTCTTCATTTCTTGTTGATCCCTTATTATTTCTAGTTGCTCCCTTTTCATATCCTCATAGGTCTCATTTATTTTATCGGCCTTTTTTAGGATATTGTTGAATAACCTTATAACTGTAGTTTTGAACTCAATGTCCAATCTTTTCTTTTCCTCCTTCTCCTTCCTTTGTGTCCTTCTTCTTGTCTGCATTTTAGTTGTTTCCCTGATTTGATGGAATAGCTTTGTGTGCTAGGTGTTCTGGTAGAGCCCAGTAGCACAGCCTTCCCAGTTACCTGCGGTGGACAGTCTTGGTGTAGCCCTTTGTGGGCTGTGTGTGCAGTCTTGTTGTTAAGCCTTGCTTATTGTTGGTATCACTGGGAAGCGTTGATCTCCAAGCCAATTGGCTGTGAGGATCAGCAGTGTCTCAGCTAGGAGGGTTTCCGTACTCTGCTTGAATAGGGTGGGGTCTCGGGATGGCACAGACAATCTTTGGTTCCCTGTCAGTCTCGCCTTAGAAAAGTCCTGTTCATGGAGAGTTTTGGAAGATTGGTTGCAGGCGCGCGCACCTCTTTGGTAAAGGCGCAGACAAGCTTTGGATTCCAGCCAGTCCCTCCTTAGAGAAAGCCAGCCTCTGGGAGAGCTTCTGTGCTCAGCCACAGATAGGGCGGAGTCTCGGGTTGGTGTAGACAAACTTTGTTTTCCCTTCGGCTCCTCCCCAAGTCCCGCAGTAATGGCCTCTGGCTTCACACACCTCCAAGAGATCTCTGCCCGCTGCCTGACAGTCTCTCCTCTCCCTGTCTGGGGCCGTCTATCAGAGCAATAGGGTGATTCTGTTTTCCTCTCGAACAAGAAAGCCAGTTGCGCGTTAGCTGTCTGCCCTCTCCGCGCCAGGAGTAAGCCAGTAGTGAACTCAGCCCGGCCCGCCCTCTCTGCGTGTAGGGAGTAAGCCAGCAGCAATCTCGGTCCAGCCCTTCTTCTCCGTGCCGGGGGTAAGCCAGCGCCTTTCCGCTCGCACAGTTCTCCGTACCTTCACAGTTCCTGAGGTTCCGCGTGCCTTTTCTCTCCTTCCCAGATGGCAGAGCCTCCTCTCAGCCAGCCGTCTGGCGCTTCAGGGCAATGCCTTCCCTGTTTTTCAGTTCTAAATTCAAATTTGTTGTGGTAGGCTGCATTCGGATGTCTACCCTATGCCGCCATCTTGGTTTCTCCTCTTCTTCTTCCTCTTCTTAAAGAATACCCTTCAAGCCGAAACCTCTCTCTTCCTCTCTTTAAAAAATCAATAAAATATATATTTTTTTAAAAAAAGAATACCCTTCAACATTTCATGTAATACTGGTTTGGTGTTGATGATCTCCTTTAGCTTTTTCTTGTCTGTGAAGCTCTTTATCTGACCTTCCATTCTGAATGATAGCTTTGCTGGGTAGAGTAATCTTGGTAATAGGTTCTTGCTGTTCATCACTTCAAATATTTCTTGCCACTCCCTTCTGGCCTGCATAGTTTCTGTTGAGAAATCAGCTGACAGTTGTATGGGTACTCCCTTGTACGTAACTGTTTTTCTTTTGCTGCTTTCAAGATTTTCTCTTTGTCTTTTGCCTTTGGCATTTTAATTATGATGTGTCTTGGTGTGGTCCTCTTTGGATTCCTTTTGTTTGGGGTCCTGTCCACTTCCTGAACTTGTAAGTCTATTTCTTTCACCAGGTAGGGAAAGTTTTCTATCATCATTTCTTCTAATAGTTTTCAATATTTTGCTCTCTCTCTTCTTCTGGCACCCCAAAAATTCAAATGTTGGTACACTTGAAGTTGTCCCAGAGGCTCCTTATATTATCTTTATATTTTTGGATTCTTTTTTCTTGTTATTTTTCTTGTTGGGTGTTTTTTCTTTCCTTATATTTCAGATTTTTGGTTTGATTCTTGGGGTATGTTGATCTACAGTTCAGTTTCTATATATTCTTTATTTCAGACAGTGTATGCTTAATTTCTGACTGGTCCTTTTCCATTTTTTTGGCATTATCATTTAGGTCCTTGAAGATCTCATCAAGTTTCTCAGCGGTTTTTAGAAGATTCTTGAGTAACCTTATAAATGTGGTTTTGAACTCTATGTCGTCCAGTAGTTTGCTTTCCTCCATTTTTTTCATTCATGACATGTTTCTGTGTCTGCATTTTGGCTGCTTCCCTGTGTTGATGGAGTGGCTTTGTGTGGTATGTGACGTATAGGGGCCAGTAGCTCAGCCTCCCCAATCACCTGAGGTGGACGCTCTTGGTACACCCCTTTGTGGGCTAAGTGCAAATTCTTGATGTAGTTAAGCCTTGATTGCTATTGGTACACTGGGAGGAATTGACCTCCAGGCCAATTGGCTATGAGGACCTGCTGTGTTTATAATGGAAGAACTGCTGTGCTGGAGACACGATTATGGGACAGGACTTGTTTCAGTGGGGCTTTAGTGCTCACTGAGTCTGCCTCTTGAATGTGTCACTTATGGATGTGAGGAGTTGAAATCTGGTGTCTTACACTGACCACTAGGTACACTGGCTTCTGGATCTCCAATGGGGTGCAGGTCAGCTACTGTCTGATGCCACCCTGCAGGAGCTATGGCAAGAACCAGTTTTATTCTCTTTGTTTGGGCTTTGGAGGTTTTGGAGCTGTCTGAACCAGGTTGCAAGTTTGCTAGGTTAAGCTGTGATAGGGAAAAAGCTGCTGCAAAAGCCGCTACTTGAAGCTCGGGTGGGTTTGTAGATTGTGTGGGGCGGGGCCTCAGGGCATCACCAGGCTAGGGTGTGGCATACAGCAATGGCTGCCAGCCAGCCATCCCCGCTCTTCCGACCACATCCACATGTCCTGCGCCCCAGCACAGCAAGCAATTATTCTTGCACAGAGCTCTGCAAGCAAGCCACCCTCACTTTCCGACCAACAGTCCAGCTTCTCCCCAGACATAGGCTCCCCAGAAACTGGATTTCAGAGAAATCAGTAGTTTGTCTCCCTTCAGTATTAATAAAGCAACACCGCTGCCAACTCGGATTGCACACTCCTCCATACCTCAGCTTTTCAGCACTTGTGCACTAAATTCTCTTTTCGCTTTCCTTCTAGTTGTAAAACTTCCACTCAGCCAGCTTTCCTGTGGTTCTGGATGATAGATGTTTTGTCTTTTTTTAGTTGCAGTTTTGAAATTGTTGTGCAAGGCAGCCGTTTAGGTATTTACCTACTCCACCATCTTGAATCTATCTTATTTTTTTATTTTTTTAAATATATTTTTATTGATTTCAGAGAGAAAGGGAGAGGAAGAGAGAGATAGGAACATCAATGATGAGAGAGAATCATTGATTGTCTGTCTCCTGCACGCCCCCCCCGGCGATCAAGCCAGCAATCCCGGCATGTGCCCTTGACCAGAATCAAACTTAGGACCACTCAGTCTGCAGGCTGATGCTCTATCCACTGAGCCAAACTGGGTGGGGCTATTTTTGTTTTTAGAGAATTTTATACAAATTTATTTGAGCCAAAACTGAGGACTGTTCCTGGGAAGCAAGATCTCAAGTGCTCCTGATACTAAGTTTTATAACTAATGAGGAGAGAAGAATTATTGAATGGGGGAAAACGAGTGGGAGAGTAATTATGAAGAGGCTTCAACATTTCTGAAAAGTAATAATAAGCAGCAGTTCCCTATTTATCTTGTTGCCTTATGAAAATGATTAGTTCTAAGAAAATTCACTTTTTCTTGTAATGTTTCAATCAAGAAAGTATAAATTTTTATATTAATTTTTAAACAATTCTGAATACCAACATTCTGACATTCTAAAAGTATTCTAAGGTATTATTTTTTTTCAAATAGGAAAATGGACGCTGTATTACTAAGCTGGAAAACATGGGGTTTCGAGTGGGACAAGGATTGATAGAAAGGTGAGCAGTCTGGATTTGAAAATTTTCTTCCAGGTAGGTTATGAACAAAGATGATCCATTTCAAAAGATTGCATAAAACTTGAGATACTTTAATTTTAATTCTCCTCTGTTCTTTAATTCACAAATTGAAATTTCTTTTTAGGACTTATATTATTTTAACTCAGTTATTCAACTTTCATGTCTTAATATTGAAGAAAATATGTATTTCATATATTTGAGCCTTTTTTTCCTTTGAAAACTTTGATGTACTGAAGTAGCTATCTAAAATTTTGTTCCATAGGTTTTTAAAAAATATGTATTATTTTTATTGATTCTAGAGAAGAGAGAGGAAGAGAGCATTAGAAACATCAATGATAAGAGAGAATCATTGATCAGCTGCCTCTTGTATATCCCCTACTGGGGATTGAGCCTGTAAACCAGGCATGTGTCTTTGACCAGAATTGAACCTGGGACTCTTCAGTCCACAGGCCGATGCTTAATTCACTGAGCCAAACCAGCTAGGGCTCCATAGGTTTGGTTTTTTTTTAACCTAAATATATTTTGTTTAAATGCATAGGGTGGAAATGCTTTAGAGTCTATATTTATATATGCAGTCATCTTCTAATTTATAGAATAATTTTCACTATTCCTTTCTCTCTATCTGAATAGTTGAGCTTTGTTTTATGTAACAATACTGTGATCATCTTCAACTTTTTTTGATGTGCTAAGATGAATTGTACCTAAAACTACAACTTACTGTTAGACTCTACTGTTAGACCAATTTTAGCCACATAATTGTATTAAAGGATGTGAATCTATTGAGATGGAATCTACTTTGCTTGATGCTTATCACTTTATGACTGTTAATATTCAGTGCTGTTCTGACATTTGGAAATTAGTTAACCATTTGCCTCTCCTACTTTCTTTGGAGGAAAAATACTATATTACTTCTAGTTGATCTTTTAGGTTTACAAAAGATACCGCGAGGTTCAAGGATGAATTAGATATTATGAAGTTCATTTGTAAAGATTTCTGGACTACAGTATTCAAGAAACAAATCGACAATCTGAGGACAAATCATCAGGTATTTTGATAAATTAAAGCCTATTTTTTAAGTTCTTTAATTTAATATATATTACCTATTTTAGTGATTTATTTATTTAAAACATAAAATAATTTCTATTCAAGTTTGGAATGTTTCTCTTATATATTATTAATAAGTTTTATTCTCTAATAGGTTATAGCGAATAAAGACAAAGGGACAACGATCAGTTATGGTAGCTGTTTCTTTCCCCCAATTAAATAAGTTATTTTAAGTTTTAAAAAGTAGTCATGTCAGCCGAAGCTGGTTTGGCTCAGTGGTAGAGCGTCAGCCTGAGGACTGAAAGGTCCCAGGTTCGATTCCGGTCAAGGGCATGTACATTGGTTGCGGGCACATCCCCGGTAGGGGGTGTGCAAGAGGCAGCTGGTCGATGTTTCTCCCTCATCGACGTTTCTAGCTCTCTATCTCTCTCCCTTCCTCCTCTCTGTGAAATATCAATAAAATATATTTAAAAAAAAAAAAAGTAGTCATGTCAGAATGATAAAGTTTTAGGATTTAGTTTCTTAGTTATTATTACTTAGGAATAAGAAGCAGAACCACAAATATATCACTTTTATGTCTTTAGAGTAATTTTTACAGTCCAATTTATAAAGCATATTTAGCTCTTAAATTAGTCTTGTATTGTTTAGTTGCTGTCATAGTTTCTATTAAAATATTTTAATATAAAAGTCAATAGACTAGAGAAACCAAGATGGCGGCATAGGTAAACAATTTCAAACTACAACTAAAAGACAAAACGGACATCATCCAGAACCACAGGAAGGCTGGCTGAGTGGAAATTCTACAACTAGAAGGAAAGAGAAAAGCACACTGAGATTCACAGTAGGTACTGAGGTACTGAGACACGTGAGGGGAGATGGCTGGCAACTGAGTACGCAGCTGGCTTTCTCAAGCGGGAGGAAGACAAAAGCTTCTGAAGCCTCTGAACTCTAGTTCCGGGCCAGACTCTGGGGACCCAGACTCATTCGGGGAGAAACTGGCCTGTCTGGCAGTGGGCAAAACTTGAGGGCGGCTTTCTCTCAGAGGTGCTTGCAGCGATTACAGTGGGACACTGAGACCCAGGGGCCTCTTAGGGCAGGGCTGACAGGAAGCCATTGCTGTCTGCTCTGCCCTGAGATTCTGCCCAACGAAGCCATTGATGTGTGCTCCACCCTGAGACTCCACCCCATCCCAGCTGAGCACAGAGGCTTTTGCAAGTATTGTTTCATAAGGGTGTCTCCAGCATAGAAGTTCTCCCAGCATAGACACATCTGATCCTCACAGCCAATTGGCCTATATCTAAATTCCTCTCAGTGATACCAACACTAGTTTCTCAAGAACCTTTTAGAAACCTCTGAGAAATTTAGCAAGACCCTCTAGGATATGAAAAAGGATCAACTAGAAATTAAGGATACACTGACAGAAAAAAAAATAATATACAGAGATCCAACAACAGACTAGAGAATTGCAAGAATCAAGTCAAAGATTTGAAATGCAAAGAAGTAAAAAACACCCAACTAGAAAAGCAAAAAGAATCCAAAAATATGAAGATAGTGTAAGGAGACTCTGGGACAACTTCAAGCATATCAACATCAGAATTATGGGGGTGCCAGAAGAAGAGAGAAAGCAAGATACTGAAAACCTATTTGAAGAAATAATGACAGAAAACTTCCCCCATGTGGTGAAAGAAATAGACTTATAAGTCCAGGACGTGCACAGAACCCCAAACAAAAGAGGACCACAGCAAGACACATCATAATTAAAATGCCAAGGGCAAAAGACAAAGAGAATTTTGAAAGCAGCAACAGAAAAACAGTTACATACAAGGGAGTACCCATACAACTGTCAGCTGATTTCTCAACAGAAACTATGAAGGCCCGATTGGAGTGGCAAGAAATATTTGAAATGATGAATAGTAAGAACCTACAACAAAGGTTAGTCTACTAGCAAAGCTATAATTCAGAATGGAAGGTCAAATAAAGAGATAAGAAAAAGCTAAAGGAGTTCATAAACACCAAACCAGTATTATATGAAATGCTGAAAAGTATTCAAGAAGAGGAAGAAGAAGAAAAAGGTAAAGATAAAAATTATGAAGAACAAATACATATATTAATATATCAACAAGTGAATCTAAAAATCAAGTCAATAAAAAAATCTGATGAACAGAATGGAGAATAAAGTGGAATCAGGCATAGAAAGGAGTGGACTGACAGTTCTCTGGGGGAGAGGTATGTGGAGGGTGCAGGAAGAGACTCAACAAAAATTGTACATTTATGAATGAGGACTGGGGGTGGGTAAGGGCATGGGGTGGTGTGAGAACAAGGTGTAGGGGAGGTATGAGAGTGGGGGAAAGAGGATCAATTGTAATAATCTGAATAATAAAGATTTATTTAAAAAAAAAACAGTGGACTACATGGAAAATGTGTATTTGAAATCCACTTAAGGAAGTATTTAGGGTGGATTTGGCCCTTTGATTAATTATAAAAAAGGAAAAGAATTTAGTAACCATCTATAGAATTTTTTAAATTGTCGATGCTAGTTTTTATTTTTTTAATAAATCTTTATTCAGATTATTACAGTTCCTCTTTTTTCCCCCATAGCTCCCCTCCACTAGGTTCCCACCCCACCCCATGCCCTTACCCCCCATTGTCCTCATCCATAGGTGTACGATTTTAGTCCAGTCTCTTCCTGCACTCCCCACACCCTTTACCCATGATTCTTATCAACCCACTCCCTTTCTTTGCCCCTGATTCTATTATATTCACCAGTTTATTCTGTTCCTCAGGTTTTTAATTCACCTGATTTTTAGATTCATTTGTTAATAGATAGGTATTTGTTGATCATAATTTTATCTTTACTTTTTTCTTTTTCTTACTCTTCTTAAAGAATACCTTTCAGCATTTCATATAATACTGGTTTGGTGGTGATGAACTTCTTTAGCTTTTTCTTATCTCTGAAGCTCTTTATCTGCCCTTCAATTCTGAATGATAACTTTGCTGGGTAGAGTAATCTTGGTTGTAAGATCTTACTGTTCATCACTTTGAATATTTCTTGCCACTCCCTTCAGGCCTGCATAGTTTCTGTTGAGAAATTAACTGATAATCATATGGGTGCTCCCTTATAAGTAACTGTTTTTCTTTTGCTGCTTTCAAGATTCTCTCTTCATCTTTTGCCTTTGGCATTTTAATTATGATGTGTCTTGATGAGGTCCTCTTTGGATTCCTCTTGTTTGGGGTTCTGTGCACTTCCTGGATTTGTAAGTTTATTTCTTTCACCAGATGGGGGAAATTTTCTGTCATTATTTCTTCAAATAGGTTTTCAGTATCTTGCTCTCTCTCTTCTTCTGGCACCCCCATAATTCTGATGTTGTTACGCTTGAAGTTGTCCCAGAGGCTTCTTACACTATCTTCAACTTTCTGGATTTTCTTCTCTCCTCGCCTCTCCAGAGGAGTGTTCTTTGCCTCTTTGTATTCCAAATCTTTGACTTGATTCTTGCATTCCTCTAGTCTGCTGTTGGGTCTCCGTATAATATTTTTTATTTCAGTTCAGTATATGTTTAATTTCTAGTTGGTCCTTTTTCATATCCTCAAGGGTCTCATTAAACTTACTAGCCTTTTCTAGAAAATTCTTTTTCTTTTTTTTTTAATATATTTTGTTGATTTTTTACAGAAAGGAAGAGAGAGTTATAGAGAGCTAGAAATATCGATGAGAGAGAGTCACTGATCAGCTGCCTCTTGCAGCTGGGGATGTGCCCCCAACCAAGGTACATTCCCTTGACTGGAATTGAAACTGGGACCTTTCAGTCCGCAGGCCAACGCTCTATTCACTGAGACAAACGAGTCTCAGATAGAAAATTCTTGAAAAACCTTATAACCATGGTTTTGAACTTTGTCATCTTTGGTTCTCCATTTCTTTTGTTTGAGATCTATTTCCTTGTCTTGGCATTTTTGCTGCTTCCCTGAGCTGGTAGGGTAGCTTTGTGTGCTTGCTGTCTTATATGGCCTGGTGGATCAACCTCCCTAGTTACCTGAGATGGACACTCTTGGTGCTCCCCTTTGTGGACTGCGTGTACAGCCTTGTTGTAGTTAATTCTTGATTGTTGTTGTTATCACTGGGAGGAATTGACCTCCAGGCCAATTGGATGTATCAGCTGTGTCTACACTGGGATACCTTCTGTATTGGAGACAGTCTTATAGGATCAGACTTGCAAAATTGCAAAAGCCTCTGAGCACAGCTTGGATGGGGTGGAGTCTCAGGGCTGAGCTGACAGTCTTGCCTTCCCGTCAGCCCTGCCCTTGTGCATGTACCTCAGACCTCTGCCTTCTGTGGCTCCCCTGAGTTTCCACCTGACAGTCCAGATTCCCCCCGCAAGAGCGTGGGTGCCCCAGGGGCTCACCCGGAATAGGGTTGGGTCTCTGTAGTCTGGAGCTTCCAACTCTTTCTGCTATAGAGAGGCCGCAGCAACCTCTGCGGTCAGACCTCTCTGCATGCAATCACTGGTGCGCAATTCTAGACCCTGCCCGCTGCGGCTCCCGGCTCCCCCAATCTCTGAGTCTCCAGGTGCCTTTCTTTAGAGTCCAGACTCCACCCGTATGAGCCTGGGTCCACGGGGTTTCGGCCAGGGCTGGGGTTCAGTGCAGTCGGGAAGGGTTCAGTGTTGTTGGGGCTTCTTCCCCTTGGTTCTCTATGTCCTGCGTCCCATTGCAGCAACAATGATTGCTGCGAGGATCTCTAAGAGCAAGCTGCCCTCGCATTCCTGTCCTGATGCCAGACAGTCCAGTTTCTCCCTATATGTGACTGGGTCCCCCAGAGTCTCATCTGGAACTGGAGTTCAGAGCAAGCGAGAGCTTGTATCACCCTTCGGGTTAAAGAGCAGCACCTCCACTTTCTGCGCTTCCACACCTCTTACCGGTCTTAACGAGCTTTCTTCACCTCTAGTTACGGAACTAACTCTTACTCAGCTTTCCTGTGGTTCTGGCTGGTAGTTTTCCTGCCATTTAGTTGTGGTTTTGATGTGTTTGTAGGAAGCAGCAAGTACTGGCGATTACCTATGCTGCCATCTTGGTTTCTTGCAGAATTTATTTTTTCATATAACAGTATCAACCTGACTTTAGAAGTAATTGAAATACTAATTGGAAAAAGTAAGTGATGATTTGTTTCATAGTTATGAGTTAATAATATATAACTGCTGATTTCACCTGGATAAGTATTAGTGATTCTTTTGCATTAGACTCTAAGTTAAGGATAGAGATTATGTCTTCTGCAACTTTGTATCTTCAGTATCTAAAAGCATTTAATAAATATAGAGTTACATAATACTGAATAACTCTTGAGCTTGAACATTACAGAATTCCTTCACTTAAAGAGAATTTGAGGCCCTGGATGGGTAGTCAGTTCATTAGAGCGTTATCCCTGTACAACCAAGGTTGGAGGTTTGATCCCCAATCAGGGCACATACAAAAATCAACCAGTGAGTGCATAAATAAGTGGAATAACAAATTGATATGCTTTTTTTTTTCCTCTTCCACTCTCTCTCTCAAATTAATCAGTAAATAAAAATGTTGGCTAATAGAAAGGAGTTTTAATAACTTAGAAAGCTCTCATTTTTCTGAAGAAAAGGTGATTTTTAAGGACTGCAGACTACATTGACTTTGGATGTATTTTCTGTTTTTGTAACAGGGCATCTATGTACTTCAGGACAACAAATTCCGTCTGCTTACTCAGATGTCTGCAGGGAAACAGTACTTAGAACATGCATCTAAGGTATTTAATGGAATAAAAAAAATTGAGATTGTGTTTTTTTTATTTTTACTATGAAAAGGGTAGAACCATAGGGAAAAGTACATTGCCAAATACAACAGACTTTTGAATTTAAAATAGGTTTTACCATGTTTCTTTTTTGTTTAAACACTTTTCTATGAAATAGGAGTCAGATGTTCATCATAGTAAAATAACTTAAATTGTAGCTAAGTAGGCTTATGATGACTAGGTAAAGAATACTATAACTGAATGCCAATAAAATGTGAGTTAATGATAAATTTTTGAATATAGCATAGATATGTCAGAAAAGGTACTCAAGCTTATAAAATTCTATTAGCTGTGCAAAATTATTGATCTCAGAGTTTATATTTACAATCTCCTTTAGTAGGTTAAAAATATTGTTTTAAACATAATTAATGTTTTTAAAAATACATGCTTTGTGTTAAGCATATCTGTTTCCAGATTTTGTGTAGTTTTTGTTTTTCAATCTCATGTAGGAATCAATAAATAAGTAGACATATGTATTTAAAAAAAGATGACAAGTTTTAATGTAAGGGTTCCTTTGAAGTGATAAAATATCTGCAGCTATCTTAGTTGCTACTTATTTGTAAAAAATTGTCCATACCTAAATCATCTAATACAAAGGCAATATAGGAATAGAGAAAAGAATATGGACTTGGGACCAACAAAATCTAGATTTGGGACCAAATCTAATCTAGATTTAAGCTAAGCTCCACAATTTACGAGTTTGTGACATTGGGTAATTTACATAACCCTATGGACCTTAGTTCCTCATTAAGAAAACTGATTATAATAATTTCTGTAACAGTCTCAAAGCTTTTTTGCAGTTCAAAATTTTATGTCTCTAGTTCTAAATGCTTATCAGTACCCATTTATGTATATTGTAAAATAATAGTCTACATTGTTTATATATAAATAGTATTGTTGAATATTATACAATACAGAAATGTAGATAATAAAAAATTCCTTAGATTATTAATTTTTTAGTTCCCATTTTGTCCTTCCTTTCTCTGCTGTAGCTCAGTCCCTTTCCTTGTTTCTATATGACAGGATTTCTCAATTTTAGCACTAATAGTATTTTGAACTAGATAAGTTTTTTATTGTAAACAAATCACAATTTTTGGTTGTATAAAGCAGAAACCAATTCTGATTGAATGGAATTATATCAACTCACAGAACTGATGAGAAGGCTAAGAAAACAGGCAAGAATCCTGGGAAGTTAAAGCAGCTAGGAAGATAGCCCCTAATCCTTCCACTGGGAGGATCTGTTTAGAATTCTTAAGTCAGAACTGACAATAGTCACAGCCACCCTTGTTGCCTCTAGAACTAATTCTAACCCGCTTCCAGCTTGAGTTCGGCACTCACTCTAGGTTCAGAGTCCTGGACTGGTGCACACAATTGGCAGAACTTGTCATGTGTCCTACTTTGGTTGCAAGGAGCTGGGAAATCTTCTAACAATCCAAATTTTCAGTAATTCGAACATTTTTCCATAACCCTTTTTTAAAAACAGGAATCACTTAATAATAGTAAGACTTAAATGTCATACTTATCTATAGACTTTTCTGCCTTAGTAAATCCTTAATATGTTCTTCACATTTTGTTCCTTTTAGTATTTAGCATTTACATGTGGCTTAATCAGAGGTGGCTTATCAAACTTGGGAATTAAAAGTATTGTAACAGCTGAGGTATCTTCAATGCCTGCCTGTAAGTTGAATTCACATTTTTTTCAAGTATTTTTAGTTACTATTTTTTAAGTCTAGTGTTTTTTTGTTTTTGTTAATTTAGAGGAAATTTAAAATGCTAAAACCATTAATTTTACTTTGACTAATTTTAACATTTAATGAAGTAATATGTAGCATACTTACATTCATATTTAGTGACTTTTTAATTCAGAATGGACATTGATTTAAGAAAATGTGCTAAAGAAATCCAAATTTACCAGACAACTTAAGGAATGATTCTTAACTTTTTAAAGAAAAAAAAAGTTTTTATTGATTTGAGGGAGAAAGGAGAAAGGAAAGGAGAGGGAAAGAGAAACATCGATTGTTTCATGCTTGCCCCCTACTGATGATCAAGCTGCCACCCTGTGTGTGCCCTGACTGGGAACAGAACTGGGAACCCCTTGTTCCCTGGGAAGAGGATGCTCAACCAACTGAGCCACACAGGCCAGGGTGATTCTTAACTTTTAAGGGAAATTTTTTGTTGTATTCTTTCAGATAGCAGATTTCCCCATAGCTTGAAAAACACTTTTAAAGTTTTCTAGACTATATTTATTACGTAAAGCTATATAAAGCCAACTGGTCTTTTATAACTAAACTCATTTAGAAAGATCTTTTCACCCAGATATACCAACCAAGAATAAAATTGACTTGAGCTTCAATGTGTTTCCTTTAACAAAAAATGTGAAGTTTGTCATTACAAGTTTTTTGTTTTTTTTTTTAATTAAAAACTACTTTCTAAATAGAGCAGAAAACTGATGGTTAGACTTGTTTTCCTTGTTGCTAAAATCAAAATGATTTTTCATGTTTTCTTTTTTAGGTAAATTTCAGGTGATGATACAGAAGTCATAGAACATACTGAAATGCAATGCTTCAACAGTGTAAAGAATTAAATTATTTATGTATAAAGTACTTCAAGTAGCAATGATTTAATTAAAATTGTTGGACATTTGTGTTGAAATAAGCTATTTGCTAACTTATATAATGAAAGATGTACTTTTAAGCACAACTGAGGTTGTATTTTATTTAACAAAGGTCAAGTTAAAGTTAAAGCAAAAAAAAAAAAAAAAGACATTCTACTGAAACTATTCAGGATGAAAATAATACTAATTTCAAATAAATAAACACCAAGATATAGGATCCTTATTTTAACATTTCTACTTTCTTAGGGAATGTATGTTTAACAAAGAGAGAGAGAGAGCCAGAATGATTTGTATAAGAATGAACAAATTTTGATTGCTTTATGAATTTTAGTTATTAAAAAAAGCAAACAACACACTAAATAAGACTTTATTTTATTGCTTATAATTTATTTCTATTAAGGATTTTATGCCTGTATAAATATTTTATTATATACTAGAAGCCCATATAAGGATTTCATTATATACTAGAGGCAGGATGCATGAAAATTCGTATAAGAGTAGGCCTTCCCTTCCTTCTCCCGCTGCTGGCACCAGCTTCCTTCTGGCACCCGGAACTCAGGCTGCTTACCTTCTCCGGCCACTGGCAGGTACCCAAGACCTGGACTGCTTCCTTCGGCACCCCCAGGCACCCGGGACTGGGGCTGGCTTCCCTCTGGCCCTGGCTTTGTCAAGAAGGATGTCCAGAATGACATACAGTCTAGTTAGCATATTACCCTTTTATTATTATAGTGTAGATGTGTGTGAGCTATATCATATCAGGCTGCCTAAATTTACTCAAAACATAATTTTACTTTAATAGAATTCAGTCCTGGAGAGATCCATTAATGTAATAAAAGTGATATGTAAATTAATTTAAATGTGAATTCAGTGATTCCAGGGCCAAAGAATATTAGGCATTTTAGGTAAAAATTTTTATATTTATTCCTGTGAATTTCAACTTTCAATTTTTCTCCCCCCATATATATGAGAGGCCCGGTGCATGAAATTCGTGCACTGGGGTGTGTGTCCCTCAGTTCAGCCTGCACCCTTTCCAATCTGGGACCCTCTCACAATCCAGGACTGATGGCTCCCAACTGCTCACCTGCCTCCCTTTCTGATTGGCCCTAACCGCTTCTGCCTGCCAGCCTGATCACCCCGTAACCACTCCCCTGCCAGCCTGATTGATGCCTAACTGCCCTCTCCTGCAAGCCTGTTTGCCCCTAACTGTCCTCCCCTGCAGGCCTGCCCCCCCCCCCCCCCAACTGCTCTCCCCTCTTGGCCTGAGTCCCTCCCAATTAATTGCCTTTCCCTGCAGGCCTGGTCACCTCCAACTTCTCTGCTGGCCTGGTCCTCCCTAACTACCCTCACCTGCAGGCTTGATCACCCCCAACTGCTCTCCCTTGCAGGCCTGGATGACCCCAACTACCCTCCTCTGCTGGCCTGGTCCCTCCTAACTGCCCTCCCCAGCAGGCTTGATTGCCCCCTACTACCCTCCCTTGCAGGCCTTGTCCCTCCCAACTGCCCTCCTCCGCTGGCCATTTGTGTCCACATGAGGGCAGCCATGTTGTGTTGGAGTGAAGGTCAATTTGCATATTACTCTTTTATTATAGGCCTTGTGCATAGGTTGGGGCCAGCTGGTTTGCCCTGAAGGGTGTCCCGGATCAGGGTTGAGGTTGCCTTGGGGCTTGGGGTGGCCTGAGCAAGGGGCCTGTGGTGGTTTGCAGGCCAGACACACCCCACGGAGACCCAAGAAGAGGCCCTGGCATCTAGGAATTATTTATCTTCTATAATTGAAACTTTGTAGCCTTCAGCAGAGGCCAGGAACTTGGCTTCCTCCATCGCTGGTGAAACCCAAGCCTCCTGTTTCCTCAGTGGCTGCAGCCATTTTTGTTGGGAGTTACTTATCTTCTATAATTAAAATGTTGTAGCCTTCAGAGAATCCAAGATGGCTGCACAGGTAAACACCTAGCCGCAGCCGCACACAACAATTTCAATAAAATACAACTAAAATATAAAATGGACATTACCCAGAACTACAGGAAAGTCGACTGACTGGAAATCCTACAACGAGAAGCAAGGAAAAAACCAGAAGGAAGCGCGGAGGAGCTGTAAAAGCCTAAGATACGGAGACACACAGCTCGAGTGGAGAGGACGGAGCCAGAGAGAAGGGGTGGCTGATTGCCCGGCTGGTGTTCCCTAGCGGGAAGGAGATAAAAGCTCCAACTGTGCTGGGTCCCAATTCCGACTGCTCTCAACCCCAGTTCTAGGCCAGACCCCGGGGACCCAAGCTCATCATAGGGAGCTGGGCTGTAAGGCAGAACCCCAGGGGAGCTGCGAAAGGAGGTCCCGGAGGCGCGCACATTGCGTGCAGAGAAGGGACGGTTGGCTGAGCCGAGGGATTGCCCTGGTGGGAAGGAGACAAAAGCTCTGGACTGCTCTGAACGCCACCTCCAACTCCACTTCCAACTGAACTGAACCCCAGTTCCGGGCTCATTGGGGGAGAGCATAGACTGGTAGCAGGCGAAAATCGAGGGCACCTTTCTCTCAGAGGCGTTTGCAGCGAGTACGGAAGAAGGACCCTGAGACCCAGGAGCTGCATAGGGCGGGACTGATGGAAGCCAAAGCTGTAGGCTCCACCCTGAAACTCTGCCCCATCTGGGAAGCTGCAAAAATGCGACAATGAAATAGATCACAAACGAAAGAAATGGAGGACAAAAAGCGACTGGATATAGAATTCAAATCTATGCTTATAAGGTTTCTCAAGAATTTCGTAGAAAAGGTCGATAAGACCTATGAGGATATGAAAAGGGATGAACTAGAATTAATAAGGAATCAACGAGAAATGATAAGGGATCAACAAGAAATAAAGAATACATTGTCTGAAATAAAAAAATATTATACAGTGTCCTAAAAACAGAATGGAAGATCACAAGAATCAAGTCAAAGATTTGGAACATAAAGAGCCAGAAGATACTTCTCTGCAGAAGCAAGAAGATAAGAGAATCCAGAAAGTTGAAGATAATGTAAGAAACCTCTGGGACAACTTCAAGTGAACCAACATCAGAATTATGGGGGTCCCAGAAGATGAGAGAGGCAAGATATCGAAAACATACTGAAAGAAATAGTGACAGAAAACTTCCCCCACCTGGTGAAAGAATTAGACTTACAAGTCCAGGAAGCACACAGAACTCCAAACAAAAGGAATCCAAAGAGGACCACACCAAGACAAATAATTAAAATTCCAAGAGCAAAAGACAGAGAATATTAAAAGCAAGAGCAAAGCAGGTAGTTACCTATAAAGGAGCACCTATACGATTGTCAGCTGATTTCTCAACAGAAACCATGCAGGCCAGATGGGAATGGCAAGAAATATTCAAGGTAATGAATAGTAAGAACCTACAGCCAAAGATAATCTATCCAGCAAAGCTATCACTCAGAATTGAAGGCCAGATAAAGGCTTCACTAATAAAAAAAAAAAAAGCTAAAGGAGTTCATCACCACCAAAGCAGAATTATGTGAATTGCTGAAGGGGGTTCTTTCGGAAGAGAAAGTAAATAAAGATAAAAACTATGAACAACAAATACGTAACTATCAACAAGTGAATCTAAAACCAAGGAAATTAAAAAAAAATCTGATGAACAATATTAACTGGTGAATATAATAGAATCAGAGGTATGGAAGGGGAGTGAACTGACGATTCTTGGGGAAAAGGGGAGTGGGGGTGCAGGAAGAGACTGAACATAAACTGTGCACCTATGGATGAGGACAATGGGGGGTGGGGAAAGGGCAGAGGGTGGGGTGGGAACCTGGTGGAGGAGAGCAATGGAGGCGGGGGAGGAACATTTATAATAATATGAATAAAAATTTATTAAAAATAAAAAATAAAAACCAATAAAAAAAATAAAACTTTGTAGCCTCCAGCGGAGGTCTAGGCCGGCCAGGATGTGCAGGTTGGCTTTTTTCATTGCTGGGGAAACCCAAGCCTCCTGCTCACTCCATGGCCGCAGACATCTTAGTTGGGTTAATTTGCATACTTGCCCCTGATTGGCTGGTGGGTGCGGCCTATGGGTGTAGCACAGGTTCAGCCTATTTGCATATCACTTTTATTTGTATACTAGATGCCTAATGCACAAAATTTATGCAAGGGGCTCTGAGGGTAGAGGTGGCAGCCCCAGTCACCATCCCGGCCTTTGCAGCAGTAGCCCCAGAAGGAGATCTGGTCTGATTAGCATAATACACTTTTATTATAGATTTTTTTAAGGCAGACCACTCCAGATTGGTATGTGGCAGGTTTTTTTTGTGTGTGTTTTTTTTATATTTAGAGAGAGAAACATCTATTTGCTTTTCTACTTGTTTATGCACTCTGGTTGATTCTTATATGTACCCTGCCCCAGGATTGAACCCACAACCATGGCATTTCAGGACAACACTCTAACCAAATGAGTTACCCAACCAAGGTCTTTATCTTTTATTTCCTATTTACTCAAGAGTGTGATGAGGGTCTGCTTCCTAGATCACAGAAGGGTATCTTTTAACTGTGTTCTCACTTGGTGTGAAGGGGACTAGCTTATTACTCCTTGGATTCTTTTTTACAAGGGCACTGATTCCATTCAAGAAAGCTTTGCTCTGATGGTCTAATAATCACTTCTCAAAGGCCCTGTCTTATACTGTTACCTTCGGGTTAGGATTTGAACATGTGTATTTTGGGGGACACAAATATACAATATACTCCATAGTAGAGCCTGACATGTCATGAGTAAGAGAAAGCCGAGACAGACAGCCAGGTTTACAAATTGTTTACAAATCTAAGTTACTGCTATAGAATGGGAGTTCAGCTCAGGCATCAGTCTGGGACTGGCACAAATTTTAGGGTCATAAAAGTTAATTAAGACACTAAATAGACATACATTTTAAAATATATATATTTTATTGATTTTTTACACGAGAGGAAGAGTGAGGGATAGTTAGAAACATCAATGAGAAACATTGATCAGCTGCTTCTTGCACACCCCCTACTGGGAATGTGCCCGCAACCAAGGTACATGCTATTGACCAGAAT